CAGGTACCATGAGTTATGCTTACCTCCCTAATTCTGGAAAGTAGTATTAAGTAGTATGCCTGTGTTTTTAAGCCAGTGGCTGTGCTCCAAAGCCTGCAGGCAGCAGCTGGAAGGAGCCTCTTTGTATTGCAGCATGGCTTGTCAGAGACTGTGGGAGTCTGCCATGTTGCCGCTGAAGCTCGCCATGGCCATGGGACTCATCTATGCACCATGGCCCGCTATGAGCAACATGAATTAGGAAGGTGCTCTTAGCTACATTTATAATCTCTTCTTAAGCTCTCTCAGGTCTTAGGTGGAAACTTGTGTCCCACATTGGGTGCCAATTGTAGCTGGAAGTTTCTCAGTCCTGCCCAGCCCCATGGTCCCACAGCCACTTATAAAATAATCACTCAGAGGCTTATATTAATTACAAACTATATGGCCTATGGCTTCAGCTTCTTGCTAGCTAGCTCTTTCATCTTAAATTAACCTATTCCTATTAATCTATATGTTGCCATGTGGCCATGGCATTACTGGTCTGCTGGCATCTTGTTGCTCCTTTGGCAGTGGGCTGGCATCTACTCGACTCTGCCCTTCTTTGCCCACTATCTCTTTTGGATTTTCCCACCTGGCTCCATCCTATCCTACCATAGGCCAATGCAGCTTTATTTATTAGCCAATGGGAGCCACATATATTCACAGCATACAGAAAGACATCCCACAGAATTCCTACATCTTGATCTGAAGACAACAGGAAGTGAACTAAGTGTCACACTGAGCTTGAGCAAAGGAAACCTCAAAGCCTGACCCCACAGTGACATACTTTCTCCAATAAGGCCATTTCCGTTCCAACAAAGCCACACCTTCTAATAGTGCCATTCCCTATGAGATTATGGGAGCCAATTGCATTCACACTACCACAACTCTATTTTAAGATTTTCTTTCCTAGAGAATGTCAGGAGTGCCAATGAACAGTCCCCTAAAATCATTTGTCATTAAGTGTGATGTTGGGGTCTCTACAAGCCAGAAACCATGCTGTCAGACTGACAAGGGCCTGGAATCTGAATGTGGGGTGCCATGGAAGGCACAGAGTAGAAGGGCAGTAGAATGGTGATCACCTTGTTCAGAGACAGGTAAGCACATGCTAGGACACCTGAATGTAGGACTCTGAGAAGGTCAGGTGAAACAACTAAGGTAATACCATCTTGTCCTGACTCCACTTTGTTTTTGCTTAGATACTTCTCAGCCATCTACCTGCCTCCTTCCAACAGCCACATCTGCCTTGGCAACACATTTGGAATTTTCATGACCCTGATCATGATCCAGATCCAGAATAATTAATGCTTATACAAACTAAATACAATAAAGTACATTATGTGCATGCCTTGGCAACTACTTTGAGCCAATTTCCTCGACCCTATGGGCCTGTCACACTACAACAAACATTACCATCCATAAATCTCAACAAAGTTTAAGTATGATGTCTAGTGTTAAAACACATAAATTTTCAAGAGAAAAATAATTCACTAAAGACCTTTTAAAATTAGAGAGGGAACATGGGAGAGTTCAAGAGAGGAAAGGGGAGGGGTAAATAATATAATTATATTGTAATTAAAATTTTAAATATAAAAAAATCTATTCAGATGACATATTTTCTCTGATTCTTTTTCTCTTTCTTTTTCTCTTTCTTTTTCTCTTTCTTTCTTTCTTTTTGCTTTTACAAGACAGGGTTTCTCTGTGTAACAGCTGTGGCTGTCCTGTCCTCAGTCTCAGAGCTCTGCCTATCCCTGCTCTGGAGTGTTGGGATTAAAGGTGTTCACCACCACCACCCAGCCTCTTTTTCAGATTCATTATATGTGCATTATAGATTTACATATGTTTAATCATCCTTACATCCCTGGAATAAAACCAAGTTTATCCAAAATAGATCACATTTTAGGTCATAAAGCAAATCTTAACAAGTAAAATAGAGACTGATTACTTGTACCTTATAAGATCATAATGGAATAATCTATAAATTAATAGTGAGGGAAACTATAGCTGTTTCTATTAATTTTCCCCATGTACTACTATGATGAACTAATTCACCAAATGATCCTAGGATAGGACAAATGTTTTTGTGAGTGCTGCCGATTTCTTATTACTCAGGAGAATATATGCATATGTATAAATTAGGTTAATAAATAACAAAAAGCTCATTAATTATTGGACACTTAAATGTATCTTAGCCAGTGATTTTATGTTAATTTCCCAAGCCTGATTGCACAATGTCTCATTTTTTCAGAATTCTTCATAAAAATTCTGAAAAAAAATACTGAGAAAGTGGGGACGGTGGCTGAATATTCAGCTGCAGTTTTGCTTGTCTTAAAGCAAATACTCTCCAGTTCAGTGCCTCCATAGGTGTTAAAGACTGACTCTGCAATATCAGAAGTTGTGATGTGGCTCCTGAGTCAGGAATACAGGCAGCCTTTGCCTATTGGGAAGGTTCCTGGAATAATGAAGTAGTCTGGCAAATTCAGAGGAAGAGTGGAGGCAGTCTGTAATCCTAGCATTTGTCTGTCTACTAACTTCCAGCTGTCAGAACCAGTCCCTAGCCATGAGCTACTCCACATCCCCTGGGCCATTCTGTTTGTAGAAGGTCACTAGATATACCTGTTGCTCCCAGATCCTCCAAGCCATTTACCAGAAAACCCTTGCTATGCAGTTCTGTTGCCACAGCAACACTGCTACCTGCATGTATCCATCTATTAGCCCTGAACAGATACTGGAGATCTCTCCTTCATCTTCCTAGGGATTCTAGAAGCAAGAAACCACTGTGGCTTTATCCACAGGGGATTTGGGAGACTCTTCTGCCCCCAAACTCAACACTTTTGGAATGTTTGGGTGAAGTGTGTTCTTGAGGCTGCTCCAGAATCCTCTCTGCAATCTGAAGGTAGCATTTTCCTGGCGGCTGCAGCAGCATTCCCAGAGTCAGAGTTAAGAAAGTTAGCAAGTAGCTGAAGGTTTTGCTTTCTCAAGAACTCAGAGTTGGGGAAAACTGTGGTTGGTATGTAAAATAATTGAAAAAATTTAATAAAAAGAAAACAATAACAACAAAAGAACTCAGAGTGACTGACCACAGACAAGCTGTGAAGAGATGACATTGTTACCACTAGCAGGTAGTGGATATAGATGGTGTGCTGGCTACTCTTATGTCAACCTGACATACAAACCAGAGTTATCTGAAAGGAAGGAACTTAACTGAGAAAATGCCTCCATAAGATCTGGCTGTAAGGCATTTTCTTAATTAGTGATCGATGGGGAGGGCCCAGCCCATGGTGGGTGGTGCCGTTCCTGGGCTGGTGGTCCTGGGTTCTATAAAAAAGCAGGCTGAGCAAGCCATGATGAGCAAGCCAGTAAGCAGCACCCCCTCCATGACCTCTGCATCAATCAGCTTGTGCTTCTAGGATCCTGCCCTGTGTGAGTTCCTGTTCTGATTTCCTTTAGTGATGACCAGCAATGCTGAAGTGTAAGCCAAATAAACCCTTTCCTCCCTAACTTGCATTTTGTTCATGATGTTTCATGTCAGCAATAGCAACCTGTGGTGATATTTTAATTGTGCTGAAATGTGATATTTTATTTGTATGTTAATAAATAAAGTTTGCCTGGAGATCAGAGGTCATTAGCGAGCCAGGAATAGAAGTCAGGTGGTGGTAGCCCATGCCCTTAATCCGATCACATGGCAGGCAGAGTCTCTGTGTGGTCAAGGACACAGCCAAGCATGGTGACACACACCTTTAATCCCAGTACCAACCGTAGAGACCTGGAGGTCTGTATAGATAGGCAGTGACAAGGAAGTCATATGGTTGGGTTCAGAGCCAATGAGAAGGCAGGACAGAAAGGCAATAAAAAGACAAGTCAGACAGGAAGAAACACTCTTTCAGGGGAAGTAATGGTAGTGACTGGTAAGCTAAAGGTAGTCTTGGCTCTTTGCTACTGCTCTGATCTCTTGGGCTTTTAACTCTGCATTTGACTCTGTGTTTCTTATTTAATAAGACTGTTTAGAATTTCGTCTACAATAACCCTAACTAAGATATATAGGGACACCTGCAGAGAGGTGGTGGCACTTCTCCAGTAGCTGCAGGAGCCTGAGTAGTGAGGGCTCTAGGCTGCAGAAGAGGCTCTGGTGGCAAAACTGCAGGTGATGGTGGGAGGGAAATTGAGCAACTCCAGCTGGGATGGAGTGGAAATCCTAGGGGTGGGGCTGTTGATTCTAATGTGTGTTGGAGTGGGGCAGCTGGAGGAGGGGGTCTCAAGGTTTTCTGGTTTCAGATCAGAGTAGGAAGCTGAAGCTCAGATCCTCTGCTGAGAAAGGATAAGGCTTCTAGTTACCCTGTAGCAGATGGTATTGGAAGGGCCTCCAGCTGGTATGGGTCAGATGCCTCACTTCCAAGAAGGCCACACCTCCTAATCCTTCTAATCCTATCAATGAGTTCCACTTCCTGGTGTACATGGATTTTTCTTGGGGCCACCAGCTCACACACAAAAAAAACCCAACAACATGGAGATTTATTATAAATTATGAAAGCTCGCCACTACCTCTTATAACTCAAATTAACCCATTTCTATTCATCTATATGTTGCCACATGACTCATGGCATTCACTTCTCCTCCTGCATGTCTTGCTTTCCCTGTTTCCAGCTTGAGACTCCTCCTTTCTTCTTCCCAGAAGTCTCTGTCCCCAGAAGTTCCACCTAACCACTTCCTGCCTAGCTAATGGTCTTTCAGCTCTTTATTAAACCAAACACAGTAACACATCTTCATACAGTGTAAAGGAATAATCCACAACACTCTGACTAAGCATTCAAATATAAGCCTATAGGGGCCATTCGTATTCAAACAACCACAGGCTCCTGCTGTAGATGGTGGAGGCTGGGCTTTCTGGCACCAATTTTCTATTTTGCACTCACAGACCACTGCAGAGGCTGACACTCAGCTCATACTCTTGTCCAATCATGCTCTGTCCACCCAGGTCCACTGCTATGGCACTGGCGATTCTTCAGGACTGGTGTGGGTGGATGGGTGTCAATGCCCAGCGTTCACTGCTTATCCTGGGCATCCCTGATGATTGTGAGGAAGAAGAATTCCAGGAGGCTGTGCAGGCTGCCCTCAGGCCCCTGGGCAGGTACCGAGTGCTTGGCAAGGTCTTCAGAAAGGAGATTGGGGCAAAGGTCGCTTTGGTTGAATTCGCTGACAATTTGAACCAAAGTTTGATCCCCCGACAAATACCAAGTGATAGGGGGCCCTGGACTGTGATCTTTCTGCCTCAGGTCCCTGATATCGAGTTACAGGGTACATTCAATTTCCCTGCACAGGCTCATGGGCAAGCTTTGCAAGGGGCTTCAGGTGGGGCAGGGGCTTCAGGTACATCAGGGGCTGCAGTTGAGGAAGGAGATGTAGATGAGACAGGGACTGTGGGTGAGGCAGGAGGAGCAGCTGAGGAAGGCGCTGAGGATGAGGCAAGAGTGTCAGATGAGGAAGGAGCAGAGGGTGAGGAAGGAGGAGCAGGTGCAGCTCCCCCTGCCTCCTTCCTACAGGAGGAAGGAGCTGCAGCTGAGGCAAGAGTGTCAGACGAGGAAGAGACAGAGGGTGAGGAAGGAGGAGCAGGTGAGGCAGGAAGAGCAGCCGAGGAAGAAGCTGCAGCTGAGGCAAGAGCGTCAGACCAGGAAGGAGCAGAGGATGAGGGAGGAGTTATATATGAGGCAGGAGTAATAGATGAAGCAAGACTGTCAGATGAGGGGGCTGTCAATGAGGAAGATGATGTAGCTGAGGCAGGGGCTGCAAGAATGTCTGATGAGGAAGGAGCTGGAGGTGACATGGGGGTTGCAGGTGTTATAGGAGCTGTGGGTTGGGTAGGAGCTGCAGGTGAGGTAGGAGCTGCAGGAGAAGGAGGCGTTTTAGAGGCAGGAGCAGGTGATGATGGGTCTGCAGGTGATGATGGGTCTGCAGGTGATGATGGGTCTGCAGGTGATGAGGAGTCTGTGGGTGATGAAGGGTCTGGGAGTGATGAGGGGTCTGCAGGGGATGAAGGATCTGTGGATGGTGGAGGGGCTGTGGGTGAAGCAGGAGCTCTAGGTGAGGATGAAGCAGGAGCTGTAGGTGAGGCAAGAATGTCAGATGAGGAGGGAGCTGCAGGTGACATGGGAGTTGCAGGCATTATAGGAGCTGTGGGATTGGCAGGAGCCGCAGGTGAGGCAGGAGGTTCAGGTGAGGAAGGGGCCTTTGATGTGGCAGGAGGGGCACATGGGGCTGGAGCCTGGACCCAGCAGTGGAGCCAAGCCCTGCAGCCCATCCTGGAAAACATGGCCTACCAGGAACTGAGACACTTCTCAGGGATGGAAGAGCCTGGCTGTGGGGGTCAGTCTTTTGAGAGCTGGCTGGACCATGCCAATGACATGCTATACCTGTGGCGCCACATATCCGAGAGGGAGAGGCGGCGGCGGCTGGTGGAGAGCTTGGGGGGCCCTGCCCTGGATCTCCTGTGTGAGCTTCTGGAAGAACATCCAGATACCCCTGCACAGGACTGCCTGGCTGCACTGGTGCAGGTGTTTGGCAACAAGGATACCGTGATGACCGCACGGCTGAAGTTCCTGACTTGCTCCCAGCGGCCTCAGGAGACCCTCTTTGCCTATGTGATGCGCCTGGAAGGTCTGCTGCAGATGGCCCTAGAGAAGGGGGCCATCCAGCCTGCAATGGTGGATCAGGCGAGGGTACGGCAGGTGCTGATGCGGGCCCGGCCCAACCAGATGCTGCAGAACAACCTGAGGAGGATGCGGCTGGAGAGGCGGCCACCTGGCTTTGTGGGGCTGCTCAGGCTTGTCCGGGAGACTGAGGCGTGGGAGGCAGCTCTGGCTGAAAATGCGGTGGTCCCAGTGGGGGAAGGGGTGGAAGTGCATGGTAGAGAGCTGGATGTGGCCCAGGCTGCCCTTGTCAGTGTTGGGGGTACTGAGCCTGCCCCCGCTGTTAGAGAGGCTCTACTAGCTGGTGAAGATGCTGGCCAGGCTGCTGCTGCTGTTCTTGAGCAAGCTGCTGGGGCTGCTCCTGATAGTGATGGTGCCATAAAGGCAGGCCCTGACTCTGATGAGGCCAAGGTCTTCCCTGTCACCCAGAGAGATGAAAATGTGTTGGCGCCTGCTGGCTCAGGCCAGGCAAGGCCCACTGTGGCTCCTTAGGTCCTCACTCCAGCCAAGGCTCTGCTCAGTCCTCTCCTGCCCTGTGTCATGATCTCCAGGTCTGCTTTCTTGATATAAACCCAGGCCAGGTGCTTGTTCTCCAGAAGACAGGCATGTTCCTACCTGAGTAGGTCCTCCCCAGACACCTCAAGCACAGCACCAGGAGCCAGTGGGAAGGAAAAAGGATTGGGAGGGTGGAATTGTTGTTCTTCTCTTGACTGACTTTGACCTGAGATGGGCAGGAAGACTGGAACCAGTAATGGATGGGGCTTGTGGATCTTGCTGTGTGATATTCTACTTGTCATTTGTGACTCTATCTCCTTGGTTGCTAGGGTAGGGTGTTCCTTGCTGTACTTCCCAGTGTCCTATGACTATCCTGTACCAGAATAATGCACAGCCACCCCACAGTGGGTTATTCCCTGAAATGGTTCCTCCAAGAATGAGGACATTGCCAGAAGCCATTGTCCTGGACGGAAGCCTATCTGGGGCCCTAGGAAAGAGAAAATGTGAGTAATGATCTCCAGAATGGGGGTGGGGGGTGTGAATAAGGTTCTCTCTGGAGAAGTACCAGAAAGAGAAGATCTTAAGATCGTTGGCCTCTATTGGTTATGGGGTTTTTCCATATGTGTTGTCATCCCCCTTTTCAGTGGTTTCACTACAAGTTTCTATTCAATAAATTTCATGTATGTTCTAGCTGAGTCCTGCATCTGCTCAGGAGCTTTTGATGAATGGGTGAGTTGGGCCTTAGGATGGCGTCTTAGTTACTATTATTGCTGTGAAGAGACACTATGATCACAGCAACTCTTACAAAGGAAAACATTTAATCAGAGCTGGCTTACAGTTCAGAGGTTCAGTCCATTATCATCATGGTAGGAACATGGCAGAGTGCAGGCAGACGTGGTGCTGGAGAGGGAGCTGAGAGTGCAACATCTGGTTCCACAGGCAGCAGAAATTGGTTGAGACACTGAGTCTAGTTTGAGCTTCTGAAACCTCAAACCCTACCCCAGTGACACACTTCCTCCAACAAGGCCACACCTACTCTAACAAGGTCATTTGTCATAATAGTGCCACTCCCTATGAGCTAATACCATTTTCATCCAAACCACCACATTCCACTCCCTGGCCCCCATAGGCTTGTAGCCATACCATAAAGCAAAATGCATTTAGTCCAAATTCAAACGTTCCCATATGTAGCAGTAATGCCCGAGCTACTGTTAGTTATTTGGCAGCGCTCTTACCCTGTGAGGAAATGTCACAAAACATGATAGAATCACTAACAAGAGTTTTATTAAGATAAGAGAGAGAGAGAGAGAGAGACAGACAGACATGACAGGCCTGTGAGAAAGACACGTGCATAAGGAGAGAAGCCAGGAATATGGCGCTGGCTTATAAAGGCTGGGCTGTGCCTGCATACACAGGCTCATGTGGCTACTCCACGCATGCGTGTAGATCACATGGTTGCGTTGTGCACTTTACACAACCATGCAAAGCCACGGAGTCCTGGTCACGTGAGACGTTTTGACCCTGAAATGGCTATTTTGACCCGGAACTGGCTAGGTGGAAGTGTCTAGGTCTGCCAGGCATGCCCAACCATGCCCAACTGTGGGGGTGTGTTGTGAATCTATCAGCTACCACCACTCATTTGCCATGTCCGAGCCAGGGGCTGAGGATCAAAGAACAGAGACAAGGCAGTGGGTCACTCGTCTCAGCAGAATGCCGAATGCCGTTTATTGAAAGAGGGAGGAGGCCTTAAATACAGGCTTACAGCACAATGGGAGAACCCAGGAGGGCAGAAGTTCACTACCAATGTTTTACATTCTTGCATCTAAGTTGTTAACATCCAATATGCAGGATGCGCAAACAGGAACCTCTGGTGAGCCTTCAGGAGGAAGGAAACCTGCAGGGAATCAGCATAGGGAGGACATCTGGTCAAGGTCAGCAACCAAGGCAACAGCTACCCCAAAAGGGGGGCCAGGGCCCAACACCCATAGTCTATCACAACCTCAGCACTGGTTAAAAATCCTCTGAAGGAGCTTGCTTTGTGATAAATAGTCTCAGTAATCAACCACCTGTATCTCATGGCAAATGCTTGGATAGAAAAAAGGTTTAAAGTTTTTAAGTTCTGAGGGTCTAAAAAAGTGCTCTAAGGTATGTAAACACAAATTATAAAAGTCTGGTGATGTGAAAGCTTAAGAGAGTTATGAGGGTCTAAAAAGGTGTTTTAAGATGTATAAATGCAAGTTATAAAGCTATAAGAAGGAAGTGATTTAAGGTATGTAAAAATAAAAAAATGTTTCATATTTCTTTCCCTGAAGTCTTAGTATATTGGTATACTAAGACTTGAAAAAGTTCAGAGTTTTAACATTATCAATGGAGTTTTGATAAGCTATTAAGCTAGTCCTGGTAAAGTACTGACTACCTCATACTCACAAGCTCAAACTTTTAAATTTCCTTTGACTGTCTTCTAAGTATATACTTAAAAATGCTTCTCCAAAAAATTCTTGTAAGCTTCAGGGAGTCAGGAGACTTGGATCCATCTCTCACATGTCAAACTGACTCCAGATAAATACTCTTGTCAATCAAAAACCTAAGTTTCCCAAGCTGTCTATTCCTGAGAGCAGGATCTCTCTCCTCTCTCCTCTCTCCTCTCTCTCTCTCTCTCTCTCTCTCTCTCTCTCTCTCTCTCTCTCTCTCTCTCTCTCTCTCTCTCTCTCTCTCCCCCCTTCCTCTCTCTCCCTCCCCCTCCTCATTGGTTGAGACCCTCCATCCCCCAACTACCAGGACCATGGACCTGGAAGTTTCAAGTGTATACCCAAGATAAAAATTTCCCCCAATCTCCTTAACTTTACCTTTTGTCCCTAGTATATATCTGTACCAGCAGATTTCTAATCATCTGCCCCACACATGCCATCCCTAGGTGCTTCTGATTGAATTTCTGATCAGCCTGAGCCTCTGAGACACATAGTGCTCCAAAGTGGCCTACATTTCCCTATCCCAGGTGGTCCTGTAGAACCTGGGCATTGAGCAAAAACAGATATTCCCCCCATCCATTCTTTTGACCATCATTCTAGCCTTCCTGCCCATACCCAGTGATGCCCCAATTTCAGTTTGAAGTAGTTATAGAAAAGTCTGTGTTGCCCTTTACCATGATGCCAACTTTCACTGGTGAGCTTGTATTCTCTTTTTTTATACATTGCCTGTTTCAGAAAATAGTAAGATATGGAAGGGAAGGTAGAAGATACACATATATAAGCCTCACCATAGACATAGTTTTCATACCTTCCTAGTTTGTTTTATATTTTTTTGCAGCTTATAGTATTAGTGCTCATGATCTTTTTGGAAACACACACTTAAGATGGAAAAGAGAAAAAGAGCGGACCAATGTTTCCTTCAAATTTGGGGAGACACGCACTACAGAAACAGAACACACAAATCTGTATTGTGCTGTGTGTGTTAATTCCAGGGTAGTGTAACAAAGCATGCTTAAGATTTAGCGATCTACAAGTCTGCATATGAGTGTATGCCTGTGAATACTCCAGGGGACATCGTCCGCATAGCCGGAGCCTGAGTAAGAGTGCGCTTGCGCAAGCGGCCATTTCATGCATCCTTGAGCTCAAGTAGCGGTGGCCCTTGGGAAATGCGACTATGCAAAACCGTAAAATGGCTGCTGATGCGACTTTGGCCTCTGCGGGACTTCCCCCGAGGCAGTGCTCGCACCTGCCGCGAGATGGCGCTGGAGGACCACAAATAGTCCCTACTGCGCCAGCGTGCCGCCACTGCCCATCCCCCACCTCCATTTTCCTCATTTCAGGGCCCTGATTGGCCATGCTGGTGTACAGGGTGGCCTTGCCTGGCGACCTCGTTACCTGTCCTGATCTCAAGAACGCCCGGCTCCCCCTTACTCCCAAAGACTGAGCCCACCTCAGTCGTGCCAGTTGGGGGAGTTCAGTTTCCCTGTGTATTTAGTAAGTGAGTGGTGGAGGGGTGAGATTAGGCCCACTTGTGGGGCCACTCTTTGTCCAGTCCCAATAGTTATGGAGACTCTCTTTGTTTAAATGTAAAAACGGAGAAGACCAAAAAGGGGATTTTCTTTCCTGGTATTGCAGAGCCAGGTAGCGCCCCCCCCCGCCCCCCTTTTTTTTTAAGTTATACACACTCGCAGTATATTGTAAACTTTCATTATATTCACTCCCCATTACACTCTGCTATCTCCCTTTTCGTCTCTCTGAACTCCTTCCCACCTGGTCCTAACAGAGATCACCATTCCTAATTTTTTTGGCAATTTTACACACACACACACACACACACACACACACACACACACACACACACACTCCACTGCATTATACTTATACTCACCCCTCCATTACACTCTGCTATCCCTCTTCCCTTCCCTCTGAATCCTTTCTTCCCACTTAGTCCCATTAGAGAAAAGACACTTCCTCCTCTAACAACTATTAACAGTCAGTAGCTCCTGAGGAAAGAATGAGACCACATGGGAACCTCTCCTGTCCATGGAGGAAAGTTTGAAGGCCCAATTATGTGCAGGTATCCGTAGCTGCTGTGCATGTGTATGCTTGTTTGCAACTGCAGTGTCATATCTGGATGGCAGAATTTCATCACAGTCTCTCCCATCCTCTGGCTTTTAAGTTCTTTCCTCTCTTCCCTGGTGTTCCTTAGGCCTGGAGAACAGGGAAAAGTTGATACAGTTATCTAGTTTAGGGCTGAGTTGGCATCAGTCACTTATTCTCAGTGCTTTGACCAGCTATGTGTCTCTGAATTAGACATCACCCCCTGCAAGAAGGAGCTGGAAACTCCCTCACTGCTGGCTATTGATCATATTACTAGGTGGTACTTATGTAGGCTGCTGGTGGAGAAAAGTCACCAGGGATCTTTTCCAGCTGTAGACCATGTCTTCTATAATACTAACCAGTCAGGGATTATGGCCACTGGTGTAATAGTGAAACAGTTATTTGGGCATAACCACCCACTCTATGATTGCATTTTAGACCTATTCCATGAGTGTGTTGTATGTTGGAGACACACACCTATATACCTGGTCAAAAGCCTATAGCTTCTATGTCTCTATCTTCCATCCTGATTCACATAGAACAAGTTGCTAAGAAAGCCTTGGTGCTTCTTTGTTACCCAGAGCCTTTCAGTTTCTGGTTGGTATGCATATATATATATATATATATATATATATATATATATATTTATAATATATTAATAAAGAATATAGTAATTCTTTATTAATTCCTTGGGAATTTCACATCATGCACCCCAAACCTACTCACCTTCCAGTCCCTCCATATCAGCCCTTCACCCCTGCAGTGTCCTCTCCCCAAAAAAACCCCAAATTAATTAAAAACAAAAAACCACCTTGATCCTCTGTCTTTTCCACCTAACACCTCTTAATTCACCCTAGTGGCATTGGGAGCTGTGGTCTATCACACATCAGCCCCACCTGTAAAAGTTCATTACAATGAGTCATTGGTATGGTTCAAGGTCTCTGTGAGTCATTGGTATGGTTCAGGGTCTCTGTGAGTCATTGGTATGGTTCAGGGTCTCTGGCCTCTGGCACACCATTATCACTGGACCCTTACTGAAACTCATCTCAGACATCTTGCTATTGCTCTGAGTAATGGAGATCCTGCAGCTACCATTCTGCAGGACCAGTCTCTCTGCGTGCTTCAGCAGGTCATAGATGGGGTAGATGTTATGGTAGACCAACCCAAGGCCTAGGATGTGGGCTTCGGTGGGAGCTGAGCTGGTCAGTCCAGGCCACTGGGACTGCACCCCTCAGGTGAGGGGCAGAAGCAACTCTCCCATGACCATGGTGAGGGGTGGGGCCATCTCTCCCGAGTGCTGGTGTGTGTGTGTGGGGGATCAGCTCTCCAATGAGGGGCTGGACCTGCTCTCTTGCTGCAGTGACCAGTGAAGGGCAGGGCCAGCTATCCCAGAGCCAATGAGGGGTAGGGCCAGCTATCCCAGAGCCAATGAGGGGCAGGGCCAGCTATCCCAGAGCCAGTGAAGGGTGGGGCCAGCTCAGCACAGCCCTTGGATTTCAACAGACATGGGTTCCAATGGCCCCCTGTGGTAACACAGACCATGGATATCAACACAGACCCCAGCTGCAGCAGGACCACAGACTTTGCTCAGTCTGTTTTCTTATAGAACTCAGGACCACCAAGATGGGCCCTCCCCTATGGATCACTAATTGAGAAAATGCCTTTCAGCTGATCTCTTGTAGGCTTTTCCTCAGCTGAGGCTCCTTTCTCTCTGATGGCTCTAGCTTGGATCAAGTTGACACACAAAACCAGCCAATATAGAGGATTAGTCCATAATCATCATGATGAGAAGCAAATAGGTAATGGTGCTGGAGTAGTAGCTGGGAGCTTTACATTCTAATCCTCAGGCAGCAGAGAAGTGGGGAGGGAGAGGGGGAGAAAGAGAGAGAGAGAAAGAGGGAGAGGGGAGAGAGAGAGAAAGAGAGAGAGAGAGAGAGAGAGAGAGAGAGAGAGAGAGAGAGAGAGAGAGAGAGAGAGAGAGAGAGAGAGAGAGAGAGAGAGAGAGAGAGAGAGAGAGAGAGAGAGAGAGAGAGAGATTGAGGGAGAACAACAAATTTGGCATGGGCTTTTTAGGCCTCAAAGCACACTCCCAGTGACAGTTCCTCCAACAAAGCTGCATCTTTGTCTTTAACAAATGGTTCATGCAAATATATGAGCTTATATGGGGCATTTTCATTCAAACCACCACAGCCACCATGCCTGGCTCTCTATCTTTTGAACTAAGACTTAGCTATTACATTGGATATAACCTGGATATACAGCAGGCAGAGCAGGAAAGGCCTGCCTGATGCTGGGCCACCCTCCTGTGAGCTGGCCACAGGCACCAAGGGCAGCAAAGCATGCATGCCCCACGGTAGTGAGCATGCCTACAGCCCCTTCCACTGGATGGGCATCACCCAGATGGTGCATGCTCCGTGGGGAGTGGTGAGATGGGGTGTGTGCGCTCATGTGGTATCTATCTATTTCAGGGACTCTACCTAGACCAGGTGTTGCTTGCCCAGCTCTGTCACTGGACTAGGTCCAGATAGGGACTCACCAGCGGAAAAAGCCTCAGAGCCCCTGCTCCCTGGCCTTGATCAGGAGACAAAGCTGGAGGGGGCGCCGCAGCTTTCTGATGCCCTTCTGTGGAGAGACCCCTGAGCACTCTGGGGCCCTGAAGTCTCCAGGAGAACAGGACTGGCCTGGATTCAGGATAAGGAACCGCTTGGGGACAGTCAAAGGCAGGAGGACACTGAACATTGACTCATAAACCCCAGACTCAGAGGATTGGGGTGGGGTCCTCTGTGTTGGGGGAAGCGGTGTGTGTGTATGTGTGTGTGTGTGTGTGTGTGTGTGTGTGTCTGTCTGTCTGTCTGTGTCTGTGTCTGTGTCTGTGTCTGTGTTGAGGGTGGGCATCATCAGTTGACGTCACCTGAGGTCCCAGGTTGCCCAAGGCGTGATCTTCATGCGCCAATGGCCCTCCCAGGCTACGTGGAGGGTCCTCATTCCAGCACCACAGCACCCCCGCCCCAAGTCTACACTGCAGAGAGTGGTGGTGAGGCCGTGCGGCCGCATTGGACAACGTGCAGGGACCAGAGGGCCAGAGAGAGCAAGGGAGCTGGAAAGGGACCCTGGAAAGGAATGGTGTCCGACTCAGCCTCCTCTCTGAGCAGTCTGGGAACCTCACTGCGAGACTGAATGAGGAAGCATCTTGCCCTAGGAGGTACCAGATCCCAGGAGGAAGCTGACCCCGGCAGCCCCCTCTGCCCAATAGTGTGGGACTGCCGCAGCCTTTGGGATGGGGAGGGGGCTGCATCGGGGCTCAACCCAGTGGGGCCCGCTACAGCCTTTGGGGTGAGGAGGGGGCTACAGCACACAGAGGGGTGGGCTGTAGAAGTGTCTTCACAGGAGGTAGGTAGAGGCTGGGTGGTGTAGGAGCAGGAAAGTGAGCAAGGAAAGTAGGGTGCATTAATCTCCTTTCACTCTGTTTACAGACTCTGGAGACCTTGGAGGGCTACGGAACTGGAATTTGGCCCAGATTTATGTGCATCACACCCTGATCACCCCCTACATTAGAATCCTTTGAAGTTGGAGCCATGCCACTGAACCTGTTGCAGAACTGGTGTAGGGAGCAGGGAACATCTGAACACCCAGAGGTCTATGCTGATCCTGGGGATTCCCAAGGACTGTAGTGAGGATGAATTTGAGGAGACTCTGCAAGAAGCTCTCAGGCATCTGGGAAGATAAAGGATCATTGGCAGGATGTTTAGGAGGGAGGAGAACACCCAGGCCTTTCTGGTGGAACTTGCACGTGATTTTGACTATGCTTTGGTGCCTAGGGAAATACAAGGAAAGGGTGGGCTCTGGGAAGTAATGGTGAAACCTCCTAATTCAGATAATGAATTTCTTAATAGAATTAAGAGTCTTTTCTGGGAACATCATGTCAATCCCAGGGTTACTGGCCTTTGATTCCTGGCTTGAGCACACCACTGAGATGTTACAGATGTGGCAGGTGCCTGAGGTGGAGAAGAGGCAGAGGCTGATGGAATGCTTGCAAGGCCCTGCTTTACAAGTGGTCAATGTGCTCCGTGTCAACAATGCTGCCATCACAGTGAAGGAGTGTCTGGAGGCTCTGCAGCAGGTATTTGGGCCCGTGAAAAACCAAAAAATCGCCCAGCTGAAATTTTGGTAAGGCTTATCAGGAGCTAGGAGAGAAAGTTTCTAGCTTTGTGGTGCGTTTGGAGATCCTGCTCCAAAAAGCCCTAGAGAAAAACACAATCTCATGAAGGAATGTGAATCATACCCACCTGAAAAACATCTTAGGTGGGGCCATCCTTACTGAAAAACTTTGAGAGAAACCTAAGATGATGAAACAGCGCAGGAAGCCACCTGATTTCGTGGCCCTGGCGAAGCTTTTTCGTGAGGAGGAGAAGGAGTGGGAGGCTACTAGGGGTCCAGAGAAGAGGGGCTGGAGTTAGGCCCAAGTCCATCTAATGTAGGCAGCAGGGAGAGGGCACTATTTGTTCCTGCCTTTGGAAGTGGTCTCGAGATAAGGCCTTACCAGGGTTCCCATCCCTGGAGGGGCAGAGGCCAGCACTGAAGGGGAGGTGTGCCCAGGGATGGATCTCAAGGTACAAGAAAGCACAATTATGACACATTCTGTTATAGTTGCGGGGAAGATGGTCACATCAGAGTACACTGCTTTAACCCCTCCAACTGGCCCTTAGTGAAGCAGAAGAGACAGGCTGCAATGGAGATGGGAAACAGGGCCTGGGCTTGGGAGAAGAGCCATCCCAAGTCCAAGACCAAGTAGGCGCCAGGGCACCAGGTAACCATTGTTCCCATAGGCCAAGGAGACAAAAGAGATATTTGAAAGAGGGAGAAGAGGAGCTCAGAGAAATGGCAGGGGACCTTAGTGGAACACAAGTTAAGTCCCCTAAGCCAATGCCAGCTGGAGAAAACCCCAACAAGCAAAAGTATACCACATTCAGCTCAGTAATGACCAGATGCAAGGACTCTAGTGTGTATCAGAGAAGGAAGCCAGGAACTGCTGCAGCTGCGTGGGGCCACAAGGACTCAGATGGGGACATCAGGAAAGCAGAGGCAGAAGACAGTGAGGCTGTGGATCTAAGAAACCTAGCAACCTCCAATCTACACGGGCTGTGGAGGAACCAGTCACAGGGCTGTCCTGGCCAGAGAGAACCAGTGCCTGGGGGGAAGTGCAGCAAGGCAGGGAGACAGTGCTCCGCAGAGGAGGCCGCAGGATCCAGCCCGTCTTCAGGATCATCTACACTGCTCTAGGGGAGCCCCATGAGGGCAGTACCCTTGAGTCCTTTCGTGAGTGAAACCCCTGGGTCCCTGGACCCAAAGGCTCTGGGAGGCCAGTGCCAACCCAGAGGCAGTTTCCTTCTGGGCACCTTGACAGGACTGTGAGTGGGACAAGACACCAGTGCCCAAGAAGAGCCCCAAGCTGGGGGTGTGCACCCAGCACCATAGGATTCATGCCCTCAGCTGGCCTGAGAGCCTGTGAGTGTGCAGAACAGACTTTGTGTGAAGAGGAGGTAGAAGAACAGCAGCAAGAGGACTTGGGGAGAGGGGGTGAGGGTAATTTTGTCCAGGGCTGCTGGAGAATTCCAGAAAGCAAGCAGGGGGAGCCTGGTGAATACAACTGGGCAGGCAGCTGCCAAGGCTGGCCCCAAACCCTGCCAACCTGGGAGGGTGGCCAAGCAGTGCTGCCGAGGTGCCATCCTCCATCTGCCACCCATACCAAAAGGGTGGAAGTTACAGAAGAGGCCATCTCAAGGGTTCTGCCTGGCTCTCCCAACATGGATGCCCCTCCCCATTGCTATCCTGAGGCAGGCTACTCCCTGCTTTGGAACACCTCTCTTATCTGTCAGCCTCATACTGACCCAGCTGTCCAACCAGTCCCTTCCCCCCTTGTGTGCTTACCCCCGACCCATTGTTCCTGTACAAAGCTGTGAGTGAGGTGTGTGTTAACTTGAGCAGCAGGAAGCCCTGACTACCTGGTCAGGGTCACCTCTACACCCTGGCACATGTTGTGAGCTTCTGTGCCAGCCAAGGCTATGCTAGCTCCTCTCCCACCAGTGTTGTGAACTCCTTGTCTGCTTTCCTGGTGTACATCTAGACCAGCCTCCTGCTGCTCGTTCTCCTGCAGATGTGTGTGTTGTTACCTGATCAGGTGCTCCCCAGAATCCCCAGGCTCAGTCCTGGCAGCCAGTGGGAAGCAAGGACGTTGACAAGGGACTGGTTGATTCTCATCTTTTGACTGACTTCAATCTGGAGCAGACAGGAAGACCTGAACCAGGGATGAGTGGGGCCTGGGGACTGTGCTGTAATGTTCTACTCCTGTTTTCACTTGTGACTATGTTTCCCAGGGTTGGTGGGGTATTCTTTGCTGTGCTTTGTAGTGTCCTGTGACTATCTTGTGCCAGAATAGGGCAGGGCCACCCTATACTGGGTAATCCCTTGTGAATGTTACCCAAAGAGTGAGGGAATTACAAGAGGTAGCTCTTGGGCCCTTGGGAAGGGAGAAAATAACAGAGAGATCCCAGTACTGGGCAGACAGGGCCTTCTGAGGAACTCCAGTGTGGGATGACTCATCCCTAGCAGGCTTGAGGCCCAGCCAAGTAAAAAAAAATACTTTCTGAGAGCCAGCTTGGGTCCGCCTGATGGTCTTAGCAACAGCAGCTGAAACATGATCTGGAGATGACCTGGACCAATGAGAGGCAGCGATGTCACACCAGCAGATGCATATTCATCAGATCTCCCCCCCAGGGTGGAGTGGAGGGTATATAAGGCTTGCCTCTTCCTGAATAAACTGAGCTTGTTATTTCCAAATTCTCCCAGAGTCTGTGTGGTTTGACTCTGTGCCTGCTTGGCCCCCTCCCCCAAAGGGAACAACAGCAAAGGACCCTGCTACACTCAAGGAGGGAGGCCCAGAACTTGTTTCTTCAAGTGGCTGTGGAGAGTTTGTGTTGCTGGGCTGGTGACCCTACCAGCTCTCCCTCATCCTCACTACCAGAGTGTGCTCTACAGAACCACCCTCAGCTAGCTCACCTTGTATAGTAAAAAACAAGGGGCAGAGCCAATTCTCCTACTCCCATGTCCTCTTTGCTAGCTTTACCTACACCTACACCATCAGGGCCAGATCTACTATGATGCCCAGGCAAGGTGCAGGGATCACTCTCCTGAGGTACTGCAGCTGGTGAGACACAGGGCCAGATCTCTTGCTCTTGTGATCTCAAGGCCAGCTCTCCCACTTGCCACAAGTATCAAGGGTGGGCCTTCTCTCCATCCTCTTCACCACCCTTTGCCAGATGAAGGACGGGGCCAGATCTCCCTTGCTCGTGCTTGTTGGCCCAGCTTACTACAGTCTTATGTTGTTGTTTGTTCTCTTAATCTTTTTAGGAGCCCACCACCCAGCTCACAAATAAATCGCACACAGAGGCTTTTTCTTAATTATAAATGCCAAGCCCTAACTTGACATGTTTCTAGCCAGCTTTTCTTAATTTAAAATTATCCTGACTCTCTTTTGCCTCTGAACTTCTCCTCTTCTATTCCTGTATATTTCACAGATTCACAGAGTTAAACAAATGCATCATGAACAAGAGTAACACACCTTAAAATAATATTCTGTAACATTTCCTCCCTTTTGTCTAAACAAGAAAGGCTTTAACTTTAACATTGTAAAACTATACACAACAAAAACAGTTATCAAGTAAGAATTTACAAGATTCAGTCAATTTGCAAAACTCTAGTTATTTAGCCTTTAATAATATTGCCTAACAACAGAAACATTTAGCTGCCTGGACAGTCACGCACAGTTCTTCTGCAATGTTGGGGCATCCATCTTCAGCCTACAGGCCTAGAGTATCTGGAAGGCTTTTCAGTGAAGCGGGAAATTTGAGGGACTGTCCTGCCTTGTTTTGGCAAAGTTCATCAGTCGCTTTTCTCTGTGTCCTGCAGAATATCTGACAGACTCTTCTGTGAAACAGGAATTTTGGAGGACTGTTCTGCCTCATTTTGGCAAACTTCAGCGGTCACCGTGTGTCCTGCATGTCCAGTGCTGTGGGATGTCCTGTATGTTGTGAATATATGTTGCTATGATTGATTGATAAACAAAACAATGATTGGCCAGTAGCCAGGCAGGAAGTATAGGATAGGCGGGACAAACAGACAAGAGAGGCTGGGAGGTGGAAGCTGGGGGAGACGCCAGCCTGCCGTCCAGGGAGCATCATGTAAAGGCACGGAACACGTGGCGACATATAGATGAACAGAGATGGGCTGAGTTAAGTGTGAGAGCTAGTCAGTGGTAGGCCTGAGCTAATGGCCCAGCAGTTTAATTAATATAAGTTTCTGAGTGATTATTTTATAAGTGGTTGCAGGGCCCATGGTGCTGGGCAGGACTGGAGAAAACTCCAGCTACAGTCCAGTCTGCACAGCACACTGTCAGCAGTCAAAGGCAAGAGCAGATTATTTGCCCAGTGGCTAACCTTGCCAGAGTGAAAGCAAACTCCATAAGGAGTGTCTTTGATGCCCATCATCTCTGAAGGAAATTGGTGCTGCCAGGAGCAGATGTGTCTCATTGTCATGAAACACCTTAAGTTAACAAAACATTTTAAATGCCATATTCCATAGGTCTTTGAAGTGTTTGAAGACCACTTCTTCTAAAATATACCTATTTAACCTTGAAAACATAACTAATGTGACTACAAGTTTGATCATTATAGATTAACCACCAACCTCATTTCTTATTCATACACTGCATTTTAAATGAGCTGCATAAATAAGCACAATACCCCAACTTTTCTTTGTTTCTTACTCCATAGCTGGTTGTGTGGCTGGGTGACTGGCCCCTGGATCCTCCTCCTTCTCTGGTGACTTCCTCTTTTCTTCTAGATCTCTCATTCTAGTTATTCTGTCTGCCTGCCAGCCCTGCCTATCCTTTCTCCTGCCTCGCCATTGGCCGTTCAGCTCTTTATTAGACCATCAAGTGTTTTAGACAGGCACAGTAACAGCTTCACAGAGTTAAACAAATGAAACACAAACATGAGGTAGCTGTGGCTTGTTCTGCTTCTCTGATCTTCCAGCATTCACCACAATAACTGGCCTTAGGTTTGAGTTAATTAATAAGACCTTGTAAGATTCCTGCTACATCTGGCGCCCAACGTTCGTGGTACAAATTCACAAAAAAGCCGCTTGCCTGTGGCCTTGTGGGCCCCAGCTCAGGCCCGAGCTACCCTCGGCTGGTTGTGGTGGCACACTGGTTGGATTTATTGAAGGAGCCAGAGGCAGGAGGATCCCGAGTTTGAGGCCAGCCTGGGAGGCTTGCTAAGGAGAAGCTGTGGCCTGGCCCAAACCAAAAACAGTGGAGGCAGGACCACCGAGGTGGTGGCTTCTGCTCTGAGCTACAAGCTGCTTCTCATCATGTTGGTGACTGCGGTGATGCTGCTACCTGGGACGAAGGGTTTACTGCTGCTTGTTCCGAGAAGAATTGCCAGGACCATCGTGTTACAAGAAAGCATCGGCAAAGGTCAGTTTGGAAACGTTTGGCGAGACAAATGGTGGGGAGAAATTGCTGTGAAGATTTTCTCTTCTAGGGAAGAACATTCATGGTTCCGAGAGACAGATATTTATCAGACTGTGATTGCTCCAAACCACAGAGGAGGCACGAAAAATAAAAATAAAAAATAAAAATCTACAGGAACCATGACCACGCTTAACAGCAACTTTGAATTCTTCAAAAAGATGACAGGAGCCCACAATGACGATTCCACATGGACTATGATAAAGGCATTAAGCTGATTAACACCACCAAAAGATTGACTTTGGACTACAAACTGCTCAGAACATTTTCAAGATGGCTAGCTGAGATGATCCAGATTCATAGACAACTCGAGCAAGGACTTGAGACAAGCCCTGCACTTTCCCATTATGCAGAGATTGGACAAATGATACAACTAACTTTATCAGGACTTGACAATTAGCCCCAAAATTTTCTCTTTAGGATTCCCTAAAGATGTCTTCACCCCCAGAAAGCAGGAAGTAATTTCAAGAACACAACACCCACATTCCCAAGAAGTGGGGTGGGTGTTTTTTGGTTGTTTAGTAAGTTAGGGATATTGTCATTGTTTATGACGGTTGGTTACAAGTTGTTAATTGTTATTGGCCAGGAAGAAAGCTGAACAAGGAGATTAGATCCAGAGTTTTCGTTTAAAAAAGAAAAAGAAAAAGAAAAAAGAGAATATAGATATGAGGTAGATTATTGAATCTACTCTGAGAAAAAAGATAAAGAAATCATAGGATAAATGGGTAGATCATTGAATCTACTCTAAAAAGAAAAAGGGGAAGATATGTAAATGACAAAAGGTAGACTATTGAATCTATTATGAAAAGAAAAAAGAGAATATGGATATGATAAGATAAAAAGGTCAATTATTAAATCTACTTTTAAAAAGGAACTACTTGTTTTAAATAGGATAAGTAATGAATTTTTTGTCTGAGTTTATCAAATGCAAATGGACTGGACGTTGTTATATATTAATGGAGTTATTCGTCTGAATCTTTCAAATGTTAATGGACTAGACATCGTTAATGTAATTCTTGACTGTATATATTGTATATACTTATTGGATATAGTTTTTTTCTTGCATTAGTTATAAGCTTTTTTAAATTTTAGACAGAAAAAGGGGGGGGGGGGAATGTGGTGGTATTGTGTTCTCCAAAATATTGTGTGACCCTAATAAGCTTATCTGGGGTCAGAGAACAGGACAGCCACTAGATACAGAGGCTAGAAAATGGTGGCACTCACACCTTTAATCCTAGCCTTCTGGAGGCATGGATCTCTGTGAGTTCAAGGCCACACTGGAAATAGCCAGGCATGGTGACTCGCGCCTTTAATCCCAGGAAGTGATGGCAGAAAGCAGAAAGATATATAAGGTGTGGAGACCAGAAACTAGAAGCATTTGGCTGGTTAAGCTTTAGGCTTTTGAGCAGCAGTTCGGCTGAGATTCATTTGGATGAGGACTCAGAGCCTTCCAGTCTGAGGAAACGGGATCAGCTGAGGAACTGGCAAGGTGAGGTGGCTGTGGCTTGTTCTGCTTCTCTGATCTTCCAGCATTCACCCCAATACCTGGCCCTGGGTTGGTTTTATTAACAAGACTCTTTAAGATTCATGCTACACAAACAAGAGTAACACAGCTTAAAATAATATTCTCCAAAGACTTGTTAGCATACAGTGGACTATTATTCGGGTGTGGAAAGGAATGGAGGAGCACTGGTTCAAGCCGCTACATAGGCGAGGTGAGACACAAGGAACTGTGTACTGTGGGTGAAACATCATGAATCCAGGATGCTAAGTGAAACGGACAGACACAGGTACACTCAAGAGGACGGTTTGCCGAATGATTCCACCTACAAGAGCTGTCCAACTCGGAGATGAGCTGACGTGGCAGAAAGCAGAGTAGCGGCTAAGGGGCCCCAGGGACCAGGAAAGCCTGCAGCTCTGGATTTGCTCGGGATGCTTGGAGCTCTGAGTTTAAGTCTCCGGAAGGAAAAAGGGAAAACCCCTCAGGTTTACAGTGGTGACTGGGATCCTGGGTGGGGCGTGGGGTGGGTGGTGGGTGGTGGTGGGGAAGGTAGGGACAAAGAGCTCACGCTTAATGGGTAGACACGGTGAAAGTACCTTAGAAGCCGAGGGTTGTGAAGGGCTTGGTTCTCAATGGCACCACTGAGTTGCTCCCCCTCACGTCTTTGTCTTTCCTAGAAGGCTCCTTGAGCAGCCCAAGGTGTCCAGGTGGCGACAGCGCCCCTAGCGAGGGCGGGCTGGGAGCCATCACACACCACACGTCATCAGTGGGAGCTGGAGTGGGAGCACAGAAGAGAGGATTTAGACCGTGAGGGGTCGCTAGGATACGCAGCCAGACGCAGAGGGGCCCTTGGGATCAGCCTGGAGGCCCAGAGCCCAGCAGGCCAGCAGAGAGCCGCCAGGTGGAGCAGAACCAGCCTGTGAGGTCGCACTCCGAGGCCAGCATGCCCAGGACCAGACAGGGCAGCCGTCGAGGGTCGTCGTCGTCTCGCCGCTCCCGCACCTCCAGAGCCGAGCTGACCTTCTCTGTGAGCCTGGTGGAACACCGTCTTCGGGAGGGCGGCCATGCCCGGCGGCTGAGCGAAACGGTGCCCATCTTGCTGACTGCCATCCTGGAGTTCCTGACCCGCAGGCTGCTGGAGCTGGCAGGCAATGAGGCCCAACGCCGAGGCGCACAGAGGCTCATCACCCCGGAGCTGCTGGACGTGACTGTCTACAATAACACGCTGCTCAGCGAACTGTTCCAATTCGCCACCATCTCCCAGGTGGCCCCGGCTGGTCGCCCCCGTCGTGGGCGTCGACGTCAACGCTAGCTACTACCTGCTGCTGCTGGTGCTGCTGCTGGCTGGCTCTGGGTTGCTGACCTGCCCATCCGCCCCAATCTACCCACCGAGCATCAGTTCATCCCGCCCAAACTTTGCCACAGACAGCCCTGCGAGGCTGGTCAGCCTCGTCCCTTCCTTCTCCCTGTTGTGCTCTTATTAAAGCTTTAGTTCGAGAACCCCATAGGTTTGCTTCCCTGGCTTTTCCTTTGGCACGGGGTGGGGGTGGGGGTGGGGGCAGAGGGTGAGGTGGGCCTAGTTGGAGGAACACAGCGGGTGGGAGTGGTGCTGGGGTGCAGGTGACCTACAGGCTGGTTTCCCTAGTTTTTCCTTTGGGCATGAGGTGGGAGCGAGTGGAAGGTAGGGGAAGAAGGTCAGGGTGGCCTAGTGCGGCAACACAGTGGTGTTTGGGGTGCAGGTGTGGAAGGCAGGCGGGCAGGGATGGTGGAGGAACAGCCGCTTTGGAGGGAGACAAGGGGGACCTGGATGGGGGTACCCCCCATGCACCTCTTGGCCCTGAACCAGCCTGGGCCAGCCTGGCCAGCTGCATCAGAAAGATGGCCTTCTCATGGGAGACCACAGAGCAGAGACGACCCATGTGCAAAGGCACGCCTTTTGGCTGAGGACACAGATGTAGAACAGCGAGTGGCATGTGGGGCCTAGGGTCATGGAGGATTATGACTCATTATTAACCTTTATTAATCAGCAAGATCTGCCAGGAGGTTTGCCTGGCACTGGATGTGAGTAAGATATAACCTGCGTGCCAGTGCCTGGAATGCTCCAACATCTATGGCTTTGCCTGCCCTGGGACTGAGGTTTTGTACATGAGGCCATATCCCTAAAGCTAATCTCTACCCTACAGACTGTTATTTGCAGAATGGTCTGACACTTTGCTTGCCCTGCCTTCAATTTTTGGCTATCCAAGCCCCCTGCCCTCAGCATATTTGTTTGGCAACTGGTTTCATCCCACAGGCTATCATCTGCATATAGGGCTGATGGCCGGACAGAATCTGAAACATCGTTCCTGTGACCTGTGACTGGAGTTGGAAACCTCTCTGTATGCTCTGGGCAAGAATGCCACAGCTACCTTCCACTTCTTGCTTCAAACAGCTGCAGTTGCCAATTCATTTGCAATGTTTGGCCACCCCTCCCAAATTCAGCTGAGGCCATAACTTGGAGCAGCTCAGGCCTGTACCCATCAGTCTAAGCACTGACACCATCCCTTCTATCTGCCCAGTTCCCTGCAAACTCACCATACTCTGTCTTGCCCTCCCCTGCCACAATGGAAACTAACAACTTCCTAGGACCATTCAAGTAGAGGAGACATAGAAAAGCACAAAGAGACAACGTAAGTGGACAACTCATGAAGGCAAAAAAATTACATAAACGCATACATATTTGAAGACTCCCCCAGCTTATAAAGAGAATGAAATTCTGCCATTTGTAAGCAAATGGATGCAACTGTAGGATACTGAGAGGGAACAAAAGCCAGACGTAGAAACACAAGTACAATATATTATCTTTCATACGTGGAGAAAAAAGTAATAATTTAAAGGACCTGAAAATAGAAGAGAAGACTATTGGAAACAGGTGATTTTGGAAGATGGAATATTTGGAAGGAAGTAAAGGGTTGAAGCCTGGTGGCTTGGTATATATACAGTATGCAGATAAATACATAGGTGGTAATGAAATCGTGAAGAACATTCAAATGTAAAACTAAGGATAATTTCAAATATATAAATCAATTTTAAAAATTTACAAAAAAAAAGAGAAGAATGGTTAATAGAGACAGATGAAATAGGAATTTGGGGAAATATGGCGATCAGTCTTGGGAGATGGGTTTTCTTTTTAATAGTAAGCTACACAAAGAATATGAATAAAGGACATATTACAGTTAGACAACTTCAAATGGATTCAAAAAAAGGTTTTCAAGACTTTATAAAACAGCACAGGAAAAAAATAGTAACTTTAATTTTTAGAGTTAGATGCCTACGTGTACAATTCCACATCCAAGCTGAGTAATTAATATGAATAATAGAAGCACTATAAAAATTGCTCCTGGAAACACCCATCTAAAATTCTGAAACTGTAAATGCTTATGCAGATATTCATCGATGATAAAATGTTTGTGACCAAAGATGAGGGCAGGTGTCTTCTAACCAGGGTTGAATACAGCCTAGAAACGAGTCTTTGGGAAATGCCACAGCCCCACTGCAAGCTCACACCCAACACGTTAAGATCTGGCTCTGCTGCTGCGGGAATGCTGTCAACAGTTTAGCACATCTGGGCAGGAAAACATGAGTTGTGCTCAGTTAAGTCTGAGTGAACATGTCGGGTTGGTTTTCCTGTAAAGGCCCATTTGCAATGGAATTGGCTCTGTGACCTCCTGAATAAATGAAAGCATGCACAGAAAAATGGATCCCACCGTTATTTATTTCTTCCTGAAATAAGAAAGGTAACATTCACTTTGGGCAAGTGACAGAGAACCAAAGAAGCCAATCGTAAAATCAAATGACATTTTCTTGCAAAATGTAACTGCCACTGCTGGGGAGAATGTATCTCCCTTGCTGTCAGGGGCTGGAGGATCCACACTTAACTGTTGCTACTCACAGAACTGTTGGGGGTTCACTTAATGGTTAACAGAGTCTCAGTCATATTTCTAACAAGCGAAGTAAAGAGAAAGGAGCTGCACTGACTGCTACTAACGTCCTCTTAGCATGGCTAATGCTCCCTGTGCGTCCTCTACGTGAGCGTCAGATGGTTTCTTCAGAGTGGTCAAGGACCAGGGATTGAAGGTATGTTTCAACAACAGACACATCTTGCTCTTGCTGTTTGAAAATGGAGAATTAGGGAATTGTTATTGCATCTCTGCCCGTAGGAAGCCATCTCGAGGCTCACGGCATTACAGACACACGACTTACAGTTTCCATGATAACTCTGTCCTGCGCCTTGGAGATTTCTTTCTTCACTTCACTTTCTTCACCACCAATAAAAGCTTTGAGATGTTCACTCAAGTCCTTGGCTTTCTGAAAAAAAACAAACAAGCAAACAAACAAAACTCTGCTTGAGCACAAAGCCCTGGCTTGGCTTGACACCTCACCTCATTTAATTTCAAAAGAACCGACTCTGCATATCCAAAGGACGCTTGCTATGAATTCAAAGAACGAACAGTGGCTACTTCACACACATCTAAATAGCCACTCCAAAGAAAGCTCCAGTGCCACATTTTAAGGTGGTGCCATTGTGGGACAACAACAGCTAAGACACTTATCTCCGAAAATGGGTGGAGGATCAGTTAAAAGGTCCCACGGAGCAGACATGGAAAACGAGGCACAGGCCCACGTTGGAGACCCCCAAGGTTTCCCAGAGGAGGGAGCCATTCACTATGTCCATGGAATGTGATTTTTCAGAGGAAGACACAGTGTACGATCCCATGACCCTTCAATCTAAGAAACGCTCAAGCGGGGACTCAAACCCCTCTGATCTCTCAAAGCACACTGCAGTGGTGGACACAGAGGAGAAAGAACTGTGTCACCCTCTGTCCAGAAATTGCAAAATGCCTGTTCAGTCTCTGCCCTATTCCCAGGGCCCAGAGCACCTTGGGAACAGATGACATGCACACTAGCTGAAAACAGGTATGGAAGGGGAGCTTGCTGGGCTCGCGGCTGAAAAGGACACAAATGGTGACTTCAAGCAGTAAAAACGTAAGATTTCCTTAGAGAAGACAAGGCACAGGGAGCTTTCTGGGCAAAGAGCAGAAGCAAAGCATGGACACGGAATAGGAGCCACTTCAGGGGAAGCTGGTGCACTGGGAGGAGGGAAGACAAGATGGACAGAGGGAAGCAGGCAGCCAGTGAAGCTGTCAAGAGGCTGTGGGGGGGGGGGGGGGGGACGGAGGGGGAGGGAGAGGGGGCGTGTTGTGCAGAGGACACAGGAAGCAGAGAGAATTAAGAAGGAAGGCCTCTGGGAAATCTGGAAGGCCATGTTTCAGGACAATAGTCCCTCAGAGCCAGAGCCAAGGACTAGGAAAGGAGGGAAGCCTGAGTGGAGAGGCAGAGGGAGATCAAGAGAGTGAGGGAGTCAGAAGAGCACAGGGCAGAAGGGCAGGGACCACCTGGGAAGCCAGAGAGGCCCAGTCACAAGGCTCCCTCTGTGGTGCTGCTCACATTGAGCACTCACAGTTAGAATCAAGCCTTTCTGGTCAGTTCTTCCAACCAGTTCCCAAGCAGTATTCAGCTGCATTAGAGCTGCATGTTCCCTTTCCTTAAGCTCTTCCTAAAGGACTGGATGTATGTAGATGGCCCCCAAGGTCTTGAAAATTCATTTTTACTTTTCTGTGTGCATGGGTGTGTGCCGGAGGGTGTCCCTGTATGTGTGCTTGAGTGTGGAGACCAGAGGTCATAAAAAACACTCAAAGTGATTTCCTTCACATGTACATGTTTGCACGCATACACATGTGTGTGCTCCCATGTGCCGGCGCCTTCCTGAACCGCTCACCACATGACTTTTTGAAGCAGGGTCTCTCACTAAACACGGGGTTTCCAATTTGGCTGTACTGGTGGTCCCACAAGCCCCAGGGGTCCTTGTGTCTCTCTCTACCCTCACCACTCTGGGGTTACAGGCACCTGTTGCCATGCCTGGAGGACACATGGCTGCTGGGGATATTCACTAGGGTACTAAATGGGGTACTCATGCTTGCTCAGCAAAGACAGGCCTAGCTTCTCGATAGCATCTTGAAAACATTTAATTTACTGTGGCACACTGAGCACGTTAGTTAAGGCATCTGAATCAGATATGAGGAGAGATTATTTCATAGTGTATTTAAATGAGAGCATCCAAAAGAATTCCCATTGAAGGGCTGCTTCAACTCCTGGATATATAGAGGTCACTTAGGAACTAGAGCTTCGGCAAGGGTACGATTGCCAGCTCGCAGCTCTCAGTTCAAAGAGGGTTAATCCTCTGCCAGCTTTGTCATTCCCCACATCTCTTGGGGAGCTCTTGAAATACACGGCCACCAATACTCAAGAACAATGCTGATGTCGGAAGACTACAAAACACTCAACATGAAAGAAAATAAAATCTACCCTTGCCCATTGCTTGTTTTACCGACCTGTCCAATCCAAACGAGTCAAAGAAAACCAGAAGGATCCCCAGACTTGCCAATTTCCATCGAAATGTCACGAG